TTAAAAAAAATTACACTTAATATCATTTTTTTAAAATTTTTCTTCACCTTTCTTCAACCTCACAAATCACCATTCCTTTTTCTTCTCCGAGATCATTCTTCAGAACCCTCACATAGTTTCACTTTGTCTCTTTTCTTCATGCCTGATTTTCACTCAACTGGAGTGCCATTTATAGCACATGCTTGTAGGCAATAGTCATTTTTGCAGATATTCCTGACGCAAAAATCGCCATTGGCAAATTTTAAGATATGAAAAATGCTTGACAAGCGTAAACATCTACAAAAACAGGTGGAATAGTAATTTTTTAGATATTCCTTATGCAAAAGTCACCATTAGTGACTTTTCAGATCTGAAAGATGTCAGGCAAGCGTGAATATCTACAGTTCCAAGTGAAACAGATTTTACAGGGTCAAAAACCGTCATTGATGATTTTTTAGAGCCTTCAAACTCCATTAATGGCGTTCAAGTTATTACAAAAGTGTTGCAAGTCATTTAGACACTATTAATGGCATTCAAAGATCGTCGGTGGCAAGTTTTTAGGCGCTTGAGAGTTCAGACTCAGGTCATTCAAGTCTGCAATTTGCATTTTTTTTTTATGGAAAAATCGCCATTGACGTTTTTTAGAACGCCATATTTATATATTTTTGCAAAAAATATCATATTTTATGTATTCTATTAACATGTTATCATATTTAAATTATTCTCCCACAATTTTTATAAAATTAATTTTTAAATAATAAAATATTACAAATAATTAAATAATATTACAGTAATAAATTAAAATTTTGTTATTTTAGTTATAACTTGACAGAGAATAGTTAACCATAAAAATTAATTTTATATGTTTTGAAAATATTATGAATTAAATTATAATAATTTTTTAAAAGATTTATTTCAAATAATACTATTTTTATAAGAATAAAAATATAATTAAACTTATAAAAAATTGTTAATCATATATTTTTAATCAGTAATTATAATTTATTAAAATTAAAAAATATACATTTTATTTTTAAATAATAATTATTATTTTAGTTCAATAATTTTTTAATATTTTATAATTTTAAATAAATTTATATAAAAAATATATTAAAAAAAATATGTCCCCTGGTTGTCGTAGACAATCTCACTGTATATACATGAATGTATAACTTGCCCCACCTCACACTATTTGGACCAATTCAACTGATAGCACACTCCATGTCAAAGCCGTAATCTGAATTATTTATTTTATTTAAATAACAATAATATAATATTTTGATACTATATTTTTTTTATTTAAAAGTTTAAATTTATTAATTTATGTATACATTTAAGTTTATCAACGTATTTAAAGATAATTTTTTGTTAATTTAAAATAACTCAATACAAAATAGTTTCTTTTAAAAAAGTTACAAGATCAACCTATTTTAAAAGTCAAATTAAATATCAAAAAAATAATTCATATTAGATAAATAAATCAAATTTATGTATTAAATGTAAGAGCTAGTCCAGACTTTAACTTTACAAAACTTAGTTCAACTAGCTTTAATCTTATCCATGATTAAAATTCTCGTTTCTTCTAATGTTGATATAATTGAAAATATAATGTTAAATGTTGTTAATGCAATTTTACAATTACTACAACTATATTATTTTGTAGTGTATAAAACATGAAAAATATTTATTTATCCTAGTGGGTACATATTATAAGCTCCTTTAAAAATCAGAAAGAGATGAAAAAACAAAAGAGAAAATAATTAATATATGTTATAGATGGTGTGTCAGAAAAAAAAATTGAATTGTGAAATTTTAACATTAACATAACATTTAAGCTTGCCAAATATTCTGTGTTTGTAAGAGGGCATCATAGTAGGTAAGAACTTACTTCAATTATGTGTATTTAAGAATGCAATTTTATATGAAATATTATACGGCCAACACCGTGTACAGAAAAAATATAAAAGAATTGAAACATCTAATATATGGTTTTTTATTTTTATATGGTATTCAAAAACAATACATATTAAGATATGAGATTTTTTTAAAAATTTCAAAAATTAAAAAAAAAAGTTAATAATTTTTTTAAAATATTAAAATTATAAAAAATTGTCAATGATGCTTTTTTAAAATAATAAAAATTTAGAACTAAAAAATTGTCAATGATTTTTTTAAAAATAATAATAATAATTTAAATTATTAGTGACAAATTTTCATTTCAAATTTTAAAAATTTCTAATATTTTTATAATTTGTTTAAAATTTTATATTTTTAATATTATTTTTTTCTTATAAAAAAACCGTAATGTGAAGTCATTTAAATAACTTTTTTCAGATGAATTTTCCGTGACGAAGGATGAAATACAGTAATTGTTTTAAAAATATTTAAATTTCTTATTACATTTGCACAAGCGGATGGTAAAAAAATTAAAAAAATATTTTTATAAAAATATTCATTATATTAAAAATACAAAAGTCATTTATATGTATTTTAAAAAAATTATTAAAATGTCATTAATATTTATAGTAAAAAAGAAAAATATTAACATAAATTTTTTAAGTTTATTTAATGCAAATTTAAACATTAATATTAACAAAATTGATTATAAAAAATACCTTAAGATTCTTGACTCTACTCAAATACTACAACATAATATATTAGTTAAAATTAAAATAATTCTCTCGGTAAATACATAAGTTATGTTTGTTATTTTACAATATATTTTCAACAAAATTATATGAAATATTTTTAAAAAAAAATTAATGTATTAAATTTTAAAAATTAATTATAATATCTTAAGTTCTTTTAATTTAAATTGAAACTTTTATTATGTTAATTATTAAAAAATAATATTAAAAACACATTCTTTAACATATTTTTTATTATTAAATAAAATTTATTAAAAATTACACAAGTACAAGAATGAAACATTAATTTAAAAATAAAAAATTAAAATTTTTATAATTTTTAATAAATTTTAATAAATAATAGATAATATATTAGAAAAATTATTACTAACATTTCTCTTATTATAAACATAGAATAGTTTAACATTTATAAAGGATAAACATAAAAAAAAAAATACTTATAATAGATACATATTTTAGATGCTTAAGAAATTAAATAGTTTATAAAATAATTATATTTTTAAATACTTTAACTAAATAAACACTTAATCTCGCAGAAAATTGTTATAATTCAACTTACGAATATCTTAAACTCAAATCATCACAATAAATGTATTTCATTACTCTTTAGAAATTTTACTCAACTCAAATAGATATTTTGGATTAAAAAAAAGTTACGTTGTCTAGAAAAAGAATAGTCTATAATACTTTTATTTGATAAAATATTTTATAATAAAAAAATGTAACATAAATCATTCTTTATATACAAGTGTTCAAGAAACATTTTCTTTTACAGAAAAGAAAAAAATGCTAGAAGCCGCAATTGTCAACTTCAACGTACAGGTTGGTGAGAATTTCGAAATGGTTGTACAGTTGAACTAATGAAAGTAATTGTGAACGGCGTAATTATGAGCCTTTATAGGTGGGTGGGGTACTTCAAGTTCAAATCTTTATTATTTTATCGATTTTGGTAAGTACACTGGTTCATCAAATATTCAAATTTGTTATTTTAGTTCAGTGTTTTTCAGTTTTCTTTGTAAGTGAATATTTAAGATTATAATATATATATAAGACAAAATAATTAATTAATTGTGAAAATTAATTATAATATTTATTTGTATTATATATTATGTTAACATTCTATATACTATTTCCTTATAAGAGTACAGTTAAAAACAATGATTCATATTATTTTAGATTTTTAGAACAAAATACTCATTCACGACACATTTTATATGAATAAAGATTTAGATTCATACTTGGCAAGTCATAGGCAATTATGCAATTTTCATGGGAAACAGGCCCCTGGTCCCTCTGCTGGACCTCTATTTCCCAAACAAAGCGTTTGAAGTGGGTAATATCGTTGACCTTGTGTTGCCATAAACTTGGATTTTGTTACCCCTCACCATACACAATCACTCTCTACGTCTCTTGGCCAATGCTCATTTGTGTAGTGCGTAAGTTCCAGTTGTTAAATAATTGAATATACTATACTATTTAGTTGAGTGTAAGCAACCTAACTCCACTTCCATTGCCTTCTCATCGTTATTTACGCGTGCTTTTCTCTTACATTTCATGTGTATCCAACTTTTTTTCAACACAACTTTGTTTTCTATTTTTCTTTTACTTACGTTTACTACACCTTATGTTTAGTGTAAAAATATCATTCTTCTTTATTTAATACAAAAACTTTGTCAGTTTTTTTTTTTTTTTTTGGTCTAGACTGTCAAAACTGATTATAACCCTTCAATATTAATTATATTTTAAAAATAAAATAAAATAAATAGTTTATAGAATATTATAATCTTCATAATTTATTCATGAGAACATATTAATAATATTTTAATAAAAAAATACTAATGACTTACTCTTTCAACCTAATGTATGTGATTAATCTATATTTTAAAATGTCAAACCAAGTTTAAAAAAATGCAAATTTTATAAGATAAAGACTCATTTTTTTAGAATGATTAAAACAGTTTATTGTTAGGTTCCTGTACTTGAATATTTTTCTTTTCTAAAAGAAAAATTATGTATTTTTTAATTGTCACTCTTAGAATACTGTGTTAAAACAGGGGCCTATATGTAACAGAAGCAGAACCAACCGAGCAAGAGCATTTGCAACTTTCCGATCAGCCAATCCTAGCTACCGAGTCCCGAGCGTCGTCCAAGCACAAAGCGCCGCAAGTTTTGGAGAGACGCAATTGGTTGTATCTTCGGGCAATCCAATACCTGAGCGCACCAGATAGCTTCCGCGGCCTGCCACTGACACGTGGCGAACGGCCTCTAGACCCAAGGCTCGCGTTAGACAGAGACTCAGCGACCAAAAAAATCATAAAATAATAATAAAGAAATGGTAAGTGCAGAAGCCAAGTGAGAAGCTGGAGAAATAATAAACTAACTGTTATGCGCAACGCATTGTACAAGCGGAGAGTCTCCGGCGATTTCAATGAGCGGCGAGGAGAGAGAAACTGACGCATACCGAGTTCTGGTGGATCGGTGTCGGAGTCTGGAGGAGAAACAGGCCAAGCTGAGGGAGGAGTTCGACCAACTGGTGCAGGAGAAGAAGCTCACGGTCATTGACGATGAGCAAGTTATTGCTGATTCAACCGTTGGTTTTCTTTCTGGCTCCTTCTTCTCCGACCGTCCCTATGAAAGCGTATTGAAATGCATGGGACACGCCGTTTACGTTCTTAGAGTTCCCTCCGCCGAGATCATATACTGGTTAGTGGTAACCAAATATGCATAATAGCAGTAGATGCTGCATTTTTTGTTTCTTCCGAAAAGTTTTCATCTAAAGTTTGAATTATTTTTTCTTCCTGGTTTTTTGTTGTCTGAGAATATTCATGATGATACAATTTTTAATGAAACAGTGGAACTCTGTAGGGGAGGAGAGGGGAATAGGATGCGTTTCGGTTGTAAGAGTGGTGTTTGATATGTGTTCTCTGATAAGCTAGTTTCTTGTTTGTTTAGACCCGCGAACGCTGTCATTTAGAGTATTATATTATAGGGTAATTGGATGAGTCAATTCAGTTGGAAAATGTTTTCTTGGCTAAACATGTTTTCACGCCACATAGCAAATGAAAAAGGCTCATGGGGCTCACTCTTACTGAACCGTTTTACAGGATATATTTAAATTTCATGCAGATAATGGTGGTACTAGGAGCCTTGGAATTAGAAGATCCCATGTGTAAGTTTTCCTTATCAAAAAGGACACAGTGTTCAACTTTTTGGTCCTCTTTTGAAATTGGGATTCTATAGGGAGTCCACGTTGACATTACCACTAGAAAAGACATTGTTGTTGCATGTGCTTCAGTTGTTTGTAGGCGTGCTTTGCTAAACAAGTGTTGATCAAGTTTAACATGGATCACTCACACCCCTTGTTGCTGTTGGGTTGGACTCCCAACTATATGTCCAAAAGTCTAAATTTTCAAGCTCATTTTCTACACTTAATTGAGGGGAGTGAGAAGTTAGTGGAGTGGGTGAGGGAAGTCCATTTTTGCAGCTTAGTGTGGGTATTTTCGGAGAGAGGCATCAAAAAAGAGAGAAGGGAAGTGAGAGAAGAAAAGAAGCTCCAGACCAGTTACTCCATTTCTTTGATATCAGATTCGTTCACCGTTGGATCGGGCTGAAAATTTTACAACAGGTTTGTAACACGGTTCTCTTCGTTCTAACCGTTCGGATCGTCGATTGGAGGTCTGAAGTTGGAGATATTGTCTTCGCACAGAAGCCCTGTTTTTGGTGACTCTACACAGACCAGCTGCTGAGAAATCGTTATTTCTCCTTAGTTAACCGTTGGATTGAGCTGAAACTTTGACAGTAGTTCCCAGACGTATATTTCTTCATTCTGACCGCTGGGATCGTCGATTGGAGGTTTTGACTGAGAGAAATTGTATCTGAACAGTAGTCCTATTTTGTGAGATATTCTCTCTTTGATCCTTCATTGTAGGCTTTATTGCTCTGTTGATTTTGGCTGGCTGTTTGCACGAATTTGTGCACTTGATTGAACACTCTTGTACTCTTTATTTGATTATAGTGGGGCTTGATTAACTGGTTTGAGCCCGTGGGTTTTTACTTCTCACATTGAGAGGGTTTTCCCACGTAAATAATTTTCTGTGTCCTTGTGTTTGTTGCTGTCATTGGTTATTGTTGTTGCTCCTGACAGGTTCTTGCAAGTTTGGGGAATTGTTTCCGCTGCTTACTTTAGATAATTGTGTTCTTGTGTTTGGTTTTCCCCAAAAGTTGCGTGAAGTTATGTCCGTATACATGGATCTATGTGTTTGGAAGGCCAGTGGAATTTGAAATGGAACTGATAGAAGCTGATTTGTTAGAACAACCTCTTCACTCCATTGTGCAAGCAAAATCATGACCGACCTTTGTGAAAAAAATACTCGATCTAAGGAAATTAACGATCAGAGAGTTAAAGTTAAAATCTCTAAATCCTCCTCGTGTAAAAACCTGCTAGGATTGTAGCATGAATAAAGCACAAGCTTTCTTCCACTTGATCAAAGAAACTTTGATATCATCCATCATGTAAATAAGTATTCCATCTGAAACTTAAGCTAGTAAGAGAGGGCAGAAATTTGGCTTTTAAATATTTATAAGACTTGTATGTGTCCTTCACTTTCTGATTTATTGGCAATCAGGTCCAATCTCAGTTAAGATTCCACTTTGATTTCTGTCAACTTGCTTGAGTCAAATCTAAAATTGCCATTTCAGGAATCACTCAGCGGAAACTTTGTATGGATGGAAGTACTATGAAATCATTGGTCAAAGAGTATCTAAGTCCCTAATTGCTGAAGAAAATTATGCATCTCTACAAAAAATTCTGGAAAGGTTGGCCACAGGAGTACCGTGGTCTGGGCAGTTTCCTTTCAAGAAGAGGTCTGGTGAAGTATTTATGGCAATGGTAACAAAAACTCCTCTTTATGAGGATGGTGAACTTGTTGGTGTTATAACTGTTTCAAGTGATGCAGCTATATTGAACTCTAGAAATTCAGAAAATCGAAGAACATATCAATCTGGTGCCGATGGCCAACCTGGAGTGCACAGATTAAACTTCAAAAGGATTCAGTGGCCTCCACGGCCGATGATTGCACCAATGCCACATATTGCATCATCTGTTTCCAATCTGGTTTTTGTTAATGCACTTTACTGTTTTTTACAATTTCTTTTTCTTTTTTGCTCTTTTCTTTTTGGATTTCATTTTCCATTTGCTAAAATTAGATTATAAACCATATTTTTTACATCTACCAGGCATCAAAGTTTCTCCCACGGCGGCATATTGATGACACATTTTCCAGGAATACTTCAACAGATGCAGACGATGAAAAACTAGAGAAGCGTGGCATATATGTATGTCTCTGTTCAGCTTGAAGATGTATCTACGTATTTTAGTATGAGAATACTTCAAAAGTTTTTGTCCTAATTTTGAATTTCAGGAAACAAAACCTCATTCCAGACATCACCATAAAGAAAACCCAACTATCGCAGGGGCCTCCGAGAAGGATGAGTCTACTATTGACTCTGGTCAACCTCCTAAAATTGTAAGTAAATAACTTATTTTTCTTTTTATTAGTTACACTTATTGCCTAGTTCGTGCTACAAAATACAAATCCATACCAGGAATACAAAAATTTACTCAGACATTTGTCTTTATTCACTTTTTTTTTTTCGTATTAATAAAGTGATACTTCATCTGAAATCATAAGTTGGAAGTCTGTACCTTTCTGTGACAGTTCTGAAGCTTAGATACCAAATTCACTGTAATACTCTTGCTTATGTTTCCATTTAAAAACATACTAGCAGAAACTGGGCATATACTGGAAGTCAATGTGAATTTGTAAATTCTGCGTTATTTTGACCTGTAGTATGTAATATTTATTTAAAAATGTGTATATATGGACTTTCTGTATTACTCTTTGTCCAGTTAAGATACATGATCATCTCTGAATGGTTAAATCACTTCAGGCAGCCAGAGTCCTTGCCAAGCTTCCAATAGGGGGAGGTGGAAAATGTGGGAGGGGTAATGGAAGTATAAAAAATAATACCACAACTGATAGTCGAGGAACCAATAGAGTGAATAACGACAATGATTCATCTGGTGGTTTAGTGCCATTAACTCCACAACAAGATGCCGCTAATGGAGCAGAGAAAATAGAAAATCTTCATAAATGTAATTCTTTAGTGAAGAGAACAGATACAAGAGTCTGTGCATATAGAACTTCCAATGTTTCCAAAGATAGTTCTGTCAAACCTCTCTCAGGGGAGTGGTGTGAATGTTTTGGTTCTCCCATTCCCCAAGATCCATTGATAAGAATACGCTGTCAATCTGATCAGAAGAAATTGGAACCAGAGGCTACAAATGTGGTGACAGAAGATGAAATGCAAAAGCAGCAAGAAGGGTTGCCACTGCCGAGTTCAAGGGAGAGCATAGGCAGCCATGAAAGTTCATCAAGCAAAGGGGATAATGAATCAAACTCTGTTGTAGAGTGTGAAATCCATTGGGAAGACCTTCAATTAAGAGAGGAGATTGGACAAGGTAATTAATTCCGTTGTACATGTTATGCCAAAATGATTTTATTCATAAGTATGTTCAAAGTTGTGTATGAAAATTATTAAATTAATAATACATCTTGTATATGGAGCAGTCTCAGAATAATGTCGGACATTTAAATCAGTGTTTTCCTCTTAATAGCCTAGAATCTTTTACGCCACAAGTAAACTCAATCTCTTGCTCTGAGGGAAAATTAGGGGTCTAGTCGATGATGAATTATGATAAACAAGTAGTGGAAATATTTGCTTCAAGATCTTGAGGTAGGACAAAAAATTTCTATTGGATGTGTTTTAAAATAAAATTGATCTTACCTGCATCTTTCTTTTAGTATAACTTGAAATGCTTTTCAATATTATTATTTCAACTAATGATTCCAGACGTAAGTATGTTTTTATTCCATCTCGCAGGTTCTTATGCTGTTGTTTATCATGGAATTTGGAATGGATCGGTATAAATTTAACATATTCTTCTATTGTCTTAATAGGAGATTGACTGCCGTCTGCCCTAAGCCCCTAAAACTTTTTCTCTTCTTCAGGATGTTGCTGTCAAGGTTTTCTTTGGGAATGGATACGCAGAGGAGACTTTACAAGACTACAGAAAAGAGGTATCACCTTTTTTTTTTTTCGCTTTACATAGAAAGCAGCTGATACTGAATCTTTTGTGTGTATGCTTCAGATTGATATAATGAAGAGATTGAGACACCCTAATGTATTGCTTTTCATGGGAGCAGTATATTCACCAGAAAGGCTTGCCATTGTGACAGAGTTGTTACCCAGGTAAGAGTTATAACATCTTCATCTTGGAGTTTGTCAAATTAACTGTTAAAGGAGTTGCAGTTATTTTAGATGCACCTAAACTATCATGCGTCTATTGTAGTTTTGTGTCTTTAGATTATAGATGTGTATTAGTGAATATGAATCTCTCGCTCGCCCATTGTGTGCACAAATTCCCCATTTTTTATTTTTCCTTTTGTAAGGGAACCGTCTTAAATTGATTTATTTTGCACGGTAGGGGAAGCCTTTTCAAAACTCTGCACAACAATCAAACAATAGACATCAGAAGGCGTCTAAGGATGGCTCTTGATGTTGTGCGTTTCCTCTCTCTCTCTCTCTCTCTCTCTCAGATATGTTGAGAGCAAGCTGGTGGCTTGCTGAACTGACATTGGTGTTTATTGCCTGAACCGACATTGTTGTTTATTGCAGGCAAGAGGAATGAATTATCTTCATCACAGAAATCCACCAATTGTGCATAGAGACCTGAAGTCTTCAAACCTGCTTGTTGATAAAAACTGGAGTGTGAAGGTGATGATTGCTTGAAAATGCATTCAGTGGTCCCAGGAAGATTGAATATAACGAGTTTCATTTTTCAATCAGGTTGGAGACTTTGGCCTGTCAAGGTTGAAGGATGCAACTTTATTGACTACAAAATCTGGGAGAGGCACCGTAATGATATCTTTCTTTTCACTTTTTACATACTTTCATCTGACTTAAACAGCTAGTAACAATAAAATTATTTATTTTTAGTTTGTGAAGTTTTATTTCTCTCTCGTGCTAACAAGCATATCTACTGTCAAAATGCAGCCTCAATGGATGGCCCCTGAAGTCCTTAGAAATGAACCTTCTAATGAGAAGTAATTCCTTGGATCTGTGACTTACAGATTGCTTTCAGCCTAGAATTTTCAGGAAACTTTATGAAAAATTAAAGATATTTTTAAAAATTACGGATTTTTCCAGAAAATTTTTCAAATGGTCCTTTTCTGTAATTATTTGTCAGCTTGTCCTATTTTGAGGAATAGTTCATTCAGCTTTGAACGTCCAAGTTTACAATCTTATATGATGAGAAGCTTTTATACAGTTCAGTTTTTTCAATCATTGTCCTACCTTCTCCAGTTTAAGAATATCACGACCTTGGAAGTTATGCTACATTGCAAGTAGTGCCTGGATCGTATTAAATTGGTAATTTAGTTTGATGCTTCTGTAGTAATGATCTCTTCATTTTTTAATAACAGGTCTGATGTGTTCAGTTTTGGCGTCATTCTCTGGGAACTAATGACTCAATCTATTCCATGGAAAAATTTGAATTACTTACAGGTCTCTCTCTCTCTCTCTTAACGCGCACACACACACAAGTACACGTATATGCACGGGTACTTTCTAATCTGCTGCACAGAGAGCTCAAGCAAATAATGCTTACTCAGATTCAAAATTATTCCTCGCATCACTTTGATTAACCAATTATCAAACTGCATAATTTACCTAAACCACCAATTACCTATACAAAGGGATTGTGGGCGTGGCTCAAGTTGTGATTACATATAGATAGTTTGGTGGTTAAGTATTTGTATATTGTTAGTTAAATATGCTTAATATTGACTAATTACAAATAAGTTTTTTAACGTGTGCAACGTTACATTACACATAATAATCAGTTATATATAATAATTTTTTATTAAAAAAATACACAATTTAATGTATTAATATATTAAATATTATAATTTTTAATAAAAAATTACTATTTATTAATATTTTATTACATACAAATGTAGATGTTAAATGAATCATTAAAGTAATATGAGATAATATGCATAGAAATATGTAGAAGCTTTATCCGTAGTCTTTTTCGCTGTAACTATTGTATTTCACTCGAAAGGTTGTTGGAGTCGTGGGCTTCATGGATAGACGACTGGAGCTGCCGGAGGGGCTTGATCCCCATGTTGCGTCAATCATTGATGACTGCTGGCGAAGGTGCTTCTACACACACCCACCCACTTCAGTTTTGATATTAAAGATTGCCATCTAACTCAAAAATTTACTTGTGTTAAAATGTGGGCAGTGATCCAGAGCAACGCCCGTCGTTTGAAGAGCTTATACAGAGAATGATTTTCCTTGTCAACAGAGTAACAGCAGTGTCAATTAGAACAATTTCAGAATCCTAATCTTGTTATGCAGTTTAGGTTAAAGATCCAGTTGCTTTATCGAAATATATTAATTAAAAAAACGGATTATCAGAGAAATCAGGAGTACAAGCCAATAAATTGAGTGGCTAACGGAAAACATTATTCCTTTCGAAACCCAAGGGAGAGAAATGGAAGATGTGAGAGTAGGAGATAAAATGTGTTGTAAATTACCGTGGTTGGAGTCACTGATAAGTATTGAATTCATGATGCAATTGTGGATATAAGGGGTAACTCGAGGTGAAGTTGATCATGGCGCGCTCCTATTTTGAGGACTGGCTCCTGAATAGTAAACAGAACAAGTTTCCTTTTTTGGATGAGGATTCCAGTTGAATCCACCTTCGTCGTTGGATTGGGCTCCAAATCCAAATCCTTTGTAAATTGGGTTCAATTGCTGAAATTAAAAACTAATATCAATTTATGACTGAAAAAGGGTCATTTTTTAATTATGGTTTTTTTCAAATAAAATTATAAAAATATGGCATTTTTTTACAAAAGTATGTAAATATGGTATATATAAAAAATGCTAATAGCAATTTTAAGGTGAAAAAAAAATCTGATAAAATAAACTCAACATTTACTATTTTACAGCAAAAAAAAAAATTGATAAAGTAAAGTCATCACTCACGAGTCTAGAGAAAGAAAAGTAAATATGACTAGTAAAAATTACTAATGAAAATTTTATATTGTCAAAAAAGTTTACTTTTTTAAACTTACCAACGATAACTTTTGACCAATGTAAATTTTTAAAAAAATATTATAAAATGTCATTGGCAATTTTTAATTGGTAAGACTATAAATACTAAAATCTTCATTCATTACCATTCATCCATACAACCATTTGAAGTTTTTAGAGAGTGTATGTGAAGCTTGTGTGTTTATGAAAAAACAAATGAGTGTGTCTATTGTAATTTATTTTAACAGTAAGATTATATCAAATACAAGTGAATATGTGATTTGCATGTGAGAAGCCAACATATGTATATATTCTATATAATGTATCATTTAAAGATTTAAAGTGTTGGCTTTATCAATATATTCATGAAATTTCGTTTTCAAAAATTGTGGAAAGTATTATGTATCAATGTCCAGTTGATATTTGATAGTTTTATGCCATATTATTTAATTCCAACAACTAAAGATGATTATGTTTAACAAATGTTTCAGATATATCAACAATGTCATCTTCCAAGTGGTATGATTGAGTTGTATTTTGTTTTCAAAAGTATTGAGGTTCAAGAAGAATGTTATCATACTAGAGAACAACAGCGAAAGTGATGATTATGGCTTTGCAGTAGATTATCAAAGTGATGAGGAAAGCGATGAGGATCTTGATGATGATACTAATGAAAAGGAGCACTATATAGGTGGACAATATCCTTTGGGCAAGCTACCCATCTTGATGTTATAAATGCTTTTCAGTTTTCAGAGTATGCAAACTTAGGTGTGTGAAATTTGTAATTATGTTAGTGAGATTAATTTTAGTTTTGTTAATTAGTTTATGTTCACTATTGGTATGTAACACAGAGATAGACGGTGAACTGTATGTTGAAAAGCAATTCAGTGACAAAGAAGCTATTATAAAAACAGTAAAACATTACAATATATCAAAAGGAGTAGACTACAATGTGTTAGACTTAGAATCAAATACTTTTTATTGCAAATGTATAAGATATGACTTAGATTGCATGTGGCTATTTTAAGCTAGTTTCAGGAAGAATGAGTATTTTTGAAAAATCCAAAAATATAATGATCCACACACTTATACTGTTGGAATTATTTCTCAAAATCACAAAAAGTTAGATACAGACACAATTACAGAATGTATAAAGTCAATGGTAGAATTTAATCCTTCTTTTAAAATCAAAGTAATGATTGGAGAAATTCAATCTCGTTTTGGATACACAATAAGTTATCGAAAAGCTCGGATGGCAAAACAAAAAGCATGGGATTAGAGCTAATCATGGGAGGCAATGTCATACCCACACCTGCAAAAGTATCAAGCAGTGACAAATTTCTTTAACATAATGTCAAGAAGCACGATCCAACTCTCTATAAAGAGAGGCCAAACATGTTGATCCCCAATTGTATTTGCCAATTTCATTCACATCTATTAACAACTGCAAGAATTTTACATGCACGGCTGAATTACTTTTATTTGGCATCAGAACATGTCCCAGCAAGCAAAGAATATATCCACGAACATGTTGTTGTAACCTAATGTCAGAATTCAAAGGAAGTCAACCAAAATGTTGTGATAGCCACTTTAATCTAATTTATGATCTATCAATGTCGTTTGAATCACGTCGACTTCCTATTAAATTTTCACGCATATCCTATACTACGCCAATAAAAGGATTTGTAGAATCAATTACTACTGCACCATTAATCTTAAATCCAACTAACATATAAACATCTTTTAATATAATTGTGCATTCTCTACAAACTAGGTGAAATGTGTGTGTTTCAGGGCTCCCACATTCCACAAGTGCATTTATAAGTGAACTGTTTATTTGTATTTGACAAAGTTGAGAAATTCAATCAAAGTCAGTATGCCGTAAAATTTCCATAATTTCTGTCCTTGGAGACAGTATTAACAAGTAACAAGAACGTAACAATCTCATTACCTGGTATAAATAATATGAAAAAATATTATTAAAATACATTATCTATATTAAATAACTCCTACAAAATATTTATAAAATAATATAATTCTTATAAATTCAAAACTCATTATAGTAATATAATTAATAAAATATTAACATCAATGCAATAAATAATTATTAGGATACATAATAATTACTTGTTATTAATTATTTTAAATTAACTCTTAGATTTTATTAAAATATATTGTGCATATAAATTAGTAATTACTAATTAATTCATTTATTATAAATTACTCTAACTCATTCCATATAAAACTTGAATAATTTATTATTAAATTAACCTAACTAATTTTACAAAAAAATTACCTTAAAATATAATATATATAAAATTTTAAAATTAACATAATACATTAATAATATATATATATATTAAATAAAATTAAAAAACTTACATTTAAATTCTAAATTTGTTCAGAGATATATTTTCTTGAATCAACAATTGAATCTTTTACCATTTTTTCTAATTTTTTTTCTTTTTCTGTTTTTTTCCTGATTTCATACTCTCTCTCTCACTCAGCCTTCTTCTTTTTCACTTTCCTCTTTTCTAATTTTTGGTTCCCCTCCCGCCTTCTTTTTCTTTACCAGAAAGGTTTCCCTTTTCCAGTTTTTGTTCCCTTCCCACGCATTGAGCATCAGCTTAGGTGGCAATATATAAAGAGTAAAAATTGCCAATGACGATTTATATGGTCTTCATTGTTACAGCTTCCTGCATTGTGTGATTGATGAAGTCAAAACTCGCCATCAGCAAGTTTACAATATTCAGAGCTTAGTCCTTACAATATTTCTGTACATCGCTATTGGCAAGTTTAGCCCTTGACCACCATCAAAATCACCATTTGTGATTTTATAAAAACTTGAAACTGTAATCTACATCCTTGCCATGGTGTTATTCATGGTAAAATCCTCATTTGCGTTTTTTTTCCCATATTTCAGTAATACTACAAAAAAAAAAACACCATATTTCTAGACTTCTTTTTATTAAAGTATCATATTCAGACAACTTTTTCATTGAAAAATCCACATCTCAATTTAGAGTTTTTTGACTTTGGGGAGAAAAAAAAACTTAACCTTTGACAAATATCAAATGTTAATACATGATCAAATATTTTTATTTATTTCTTTAGGAAGAGAAACTATATCAATTAATTATTTGTTTTATTTAAATTTATAATTAATTTTTTTCTTTTATTAGTTTTTAAAAAAATTTAAATTATTCAAATGATATCAATATTTTATTTTACGTAGGATGCAACTTATTTCTAATCATGGCAATTAACTTTAAGGTATACTTTTAAATATATCTACTTTAAATCATTTTTTGTTTAAATTTAATTATGTTGTATGTTAACTTAATTTTTTTAAAAAGTTAGTGGTATATAAAAAATATATTGCTATGAAAAATACTCGAATAAAGTAAAATACTTAGAAAAAGATGTTGTCTGCAATGGTCTTACTTAACTTGAATAAAATTATCTCTAACAAATGAAATTGGTATTTAAAAGAAAAAGACATCAAAATTAGAAGGAAAAAGCTTTTTCACTTGTTTTACTCTCTTTTTTTGTAACAAAAGAAAAACGGGAAGGATGAAGAATGTTGACACTTTCAAATCTTTCTTACAATTAATAATTAACTAAACGGATTGTTCAACTATTTATGAACAATAAGTGGATTGAATCGTGAAAATTCAAATTTAATTTGAACTTACAAAACCATGACTAAACTTGACTAAAACTCGATTTTTAGGCTTTTATAAATTTTTGTGGGCTAACCTTGTGTTAAATTTAATTAGATTAAACTAAAAAAAATGTACATTTTATCAAGACATATTTGAGCTAACTTATTAAACTCACTTATTTTGTCAATTTTAATGATTGTGGAGCGTCTCATGCATTTTTATTTTATAATTTTTTATTTCAACAGATAAAAAGTATATTTTTAGAACTTTAGTTCTTCAAAATGAAAAGTGTGTAAAGTAAAAGAAATATGTGATAGTGCGTAAAAAATAATAATAAAATATATGACCAGTGTCGTGAAGACAATCCTAAAACAGGGCGAGTGTGGGTTTTGTTACATCCCAACGAAGGAACACAAGGGCTTCTTTTGTTGACTCCCATTTCCTTGTGCTCCCAGTTGCTCCAATTTCCAAAACTCAGTCTTCCCGTTCTCCTTTGGAGGTACATAAAGGGTGAGCCCTGTTAGTACTTCATGACTGCATGCGACCATCATATTTGACCATTTCAATTCACCAATCGCAGAGGTATTTGATTTGTCAATCACCCATGACAGCACATGAACCGCAACTTTGATTAAAAAATATCAATGTTGAGACACATTTACAATATTTTAAGTCGATTCGTTTTATTTAAAGTTAAATCAGAAATAATATCATAGACAAGGCAAGTGAGGAAAAACTGTCAGTCTGGCGGCAATTGGGTTTGCTTCATTGTTCATTTCGTCGAGTCTCTGATGCTGTTGTGATTGGTATGCCAATCAATTTTTGTAATAACCACTTCATGTGACTTCAATTTTCTGTGTTAATTTATATGTGAATTTAAAAATTAAAAATTATATTTGTTATAGATATAATAATTTTCTAAACATTTTGTTAATCTCAATTTAAAGATGAAGATAAACAGTTAATAATAATAAAATTTTATTAGAATAAAGAGTATTTATTGTATTTTTATAATTTTAATATAATAATTATATATTTTTTTATAAAAATTTTTATTTGTAAATGTTTAAATTCAATCCTAAAAATTGAGGTTAACAAAAATTTTTATTTTAATATTTTAAAAATTAAAAAATATTTATTTTTTAAGACAAATCATTAATTTTTACTATTTATTATATATATTTAAATTTAATGTAATATTAACAATGATAATAAATTTTAGTTGCATTTGGATATATAATTAAATTAAATATTTTTATATAATTGTTTAAAATAAAAAATTATGTCATGAACTTAATTATAAAAATGGTTAGAATAAGATAAAAAAATAGTTCACTAAATTATAGAAAATATTAAAATAAATTTATACAAATTATAAATTATTTTTATAAGTTATTTATAAAAAAAATTTAAATGCGTCCTTTATATGAAAAATTAAGAAACTATAATGGTTAGTTAATCAGTTAATACTTAATTATTGAATTACGTTGTTTTTAACTTTTTAATTGATAATTATACTCATTTACTAACTTTTTAATTAATACGAAACAAAAAGAAAATTAAAAAAAACGTTATATGAAAAATAAAAGAATAGAAAGACTAACCACGTCTAAAAGGAGATTATAACTTTTTTAAAAAACAATTATAGTATTTGAAAAATGTTAAATCAGGTCTAAATCATGATATATTTGACATTTCGAGTAATATGCCAGTTTAAATTAAGAAGGCCCTGCGTCTAATTATTCAATATTCTTATACATTTAAAATCGTTAATTAAATTAAAATAATTATATATCAATTGATTTACATGTTCCATAAAGTTATGTGATTTTTTTACTTTATATATATATCTCACATGAGTGGTTAAGGAAGCAGAAAAACAAATATGAAAAACTAAAAGGGACAAAGGACAGAGAGGGAAAAGTGGAATTTTGTAGCACTGCTGTGGGGCCCCATCAACTATGTTCTCAGAATTGATTCTGCTCGGATCGCGAGCTCTCTCCTCTTTCTCTATATTTTTATCATTTCTCCAGTGGTCCACTACCCATTTCCTTATATATATATTATTGAAATTTAAATTATAAAAAATACATGAGAAAATAAAGAATAATTTTGGCAAAAACTTTGTGACTTATTTTGGTTTTAAAAGTTTTCAATCCAAATACCATAATTTTTAATACATATATATTATTTCTAAAGATTGAACTGCTCCCAAATCCGAGTCAATTTGATAATTGGACTGAATACACTCTATTTGACCTTGTTAAAGTGGTCTAATACGATGATCCCTTTTATTTGGGTTTAGGGATCATGGGTTGATTAACTTCCTCCTTCAATGTCATTTAGTCGTTACCCCATATACCAGATTAAATTGGGATAAAGGCTTAAAAAGAAATGTAAAATGGTCCACAAGAAAAGTGAGTTTGTTCATTGCCTGTAATTACTACAACTTTTTCTGACAAAAAGAAATACTACAACTTTTGTTTTTTATCCAAAAATAATGGTTTCCTGGTTTTATGTAATATTAAGATGGTTACTTACAACCTATGACTAAGATGCCAAACTTGAGAACCTAGTAAATGCCGGTCTAATCCGGTTATCTGTTTGTGTCCCATTGTTGGGTATCCTCTTTTGGAAATGGGACCTGTGTTGCAAGTTGCAACTTGCAACATTATCTCGTCTTGTAACACAAAGGAAAAATAAAAAATAAAAAAAATAAAAATATATATATATATATAAAGTATAAATATAATTTTGATTTCTATACAAATTTATTATTTTTATTTGGTTCCTATAAAAACTTGTAAATAAATTTCTAAAAGAATATTTTAAAAATAGTTCACATTCACATAATGCGATTGTATTTATTTTTTTTTAATTTGAATTCTCATACATAACATATTTTTTTTATTATAATTGTAATATAAAAAAAATAAAAAAGTGTAAATCTAAAAATTCTTACACTCAATCTAAGTCTTTTATTTAACTTACATATAATGGTCAGTAAAATATAAGTTAAATAAAAAACTCAAATTAAAAAAAAATTATCCATATATATAAAGAGTTCAAAATAAAATTAGAGTTAAAATAAATTAAAAAAAGATAGAATATTTTTTTGTAGGTTATAATAGATAAATTACAAAATTTAAATAGTATAACTATAAATTAATGTCGTTATAAAAATTTGATATTTGGGTGTTTGATGAAAAGTACTTTATTATTATATTATAATACATTTAAAAATTATATAAAATTTTATTTGAGAATTTAAAGGAAGAGAAAAGAAAAGAGTTTAAAAAATAAGAAAGTTAATACAAAATCTTCAAATTAAAAGAATTTTAAAATACAAGATTAAAAAAGTTTTAGAAAGTTTGTAAACATCCTCTCATCTAAAATTCTCAAGCATAGCTAAATATTATATAAGTTTTTTATTTTTTTTCCATTTCATCCAAAAATTAATTCGTTTAAGAAATTGTTTGAAGATAATATTTATATGCAATGTCTTAAATGTTTTTAGTACTATAATTAAAATTATATATTTATATCTAAAATTAGTGTAATTTTTTTAATGTTGACTGTATTTTTAGTTATTAAAATTAACACTTAAATTTTAATTAGAGAACAACACTTAAATATATAATTTTTTAAGACTTTTATCTTAATTTTGTTTATAAAAGAAATAATCTATTATAATTATACTTAGAAATATGATCAAATTTAATTATAAATTTTAATTTATAAAATAAATGAACAAAATTAAAATAAAAGTTGTAACTGCTCTCTCAAATAAAAAATATTAGAAAAATTAGTTTATATTTTTTAGTATTTTATAATAAATAAAAGCAAAATATATTTTATCTTAATCTCTAACAATATTTTCTCATAATGATTTTTATAACCACGTTAAGTTATAATAATAATGTTCGAAATCATTAAATCATATTTTATGGTTTACTATGAATTATTATAATATTTTTAAACTTATATTTGATAAAAAAAATTATATTAATATATATTTTCTTTTAATTTTGGCTCCTTTATAAAATAATTTTTTTATAAGAACTAAAATGAAAATTGCATTGTAAATAAGAATTATAATAAAAAATATATTACGTATATGAATCAAAATAAAAAAATATAATATATGTAAATATGAGATAATGATCTTATATGAAAGTTAATGTTAGGGAGTATTTTAAAAATATTTATATAACCGTTATCCCTCATTTTAATTAGTTTTGGTAATTCCTCGTTTGGATGAGTGGATCAAGTGAACTAAACAGTTCATTAATGTTAGCTTGGTTAGTTTGCCCCACCCACTTTACTGTTGATCGACTTTAAAATTAATATTTCAAAATCGGGTATACGTACATCAATAGATCTTCGTTAAGGAAGAACATCCTAATATTTTTGTTTTTGAGATATGAATGAACTTTTATTAAGCAGAACCAAGTGCAATTACATCAAAGTTAGATAAGCTTTTGTAGAAGCTGTCCACAACCCCTCTTCTTGATCTTAAAAATTATTTTAATAATCAAGCTTTGACTATTTGTTTGAAAATTACACAAATTCAATTATCATTGAAAGATACTACATGCTTAAGAGCAAGCTTTAAAAAACAAAATTTTAAAATTTCTCAAACAACGGCAATACTTTTGACTTGAAGAAAATTATTTTAAACCCTTATTTATTAAGAACCAAGAAAAAAAAATCAGTTTTGCCTAAGAAAATCTCAATGTTTTACCATAAACAATTCTTGAATGTTTTAATCGGGCAGTTAAAATCTTCTATTATTTAAACGTCCTTTAAGGGTGAGTTTGACTAAACACGAACTAATTAAAAGTTAAAAACTTAGATTTGATAAGCTTTCTGATTGAATTATAATTATTTAATAAACATAATTGTTAGATTAGTTAATAGATGTTAAAAATATATAAAAAAAGTGTAAGAAAAGAGAGAGTAATAATATTGTGTATACGTATATATGTTGCATATTGAATAAAGTAGAAAATGATAAAAATGCATAAATAAAAAACTAAACAATATAAACATCTGAAAGAAAGAAGAAAAAACAATTGAATGCAGACGTATTGTTATTCTAGTTCTCGGTCCACAAAGTGTTCGTAGTTTCTGCACAGTTTGCTTACACAAAAAGTCACCTACTCTCTCTTTCTTTCACAAACTCGCTCTTGACTTCTTCCAAGTTGGTACAATCCACAATGCATCATTAAAATCTAAACCATTACACCAAGTTAATGCTTTTCTGTTAGACAAAGTTGATGGGTAAGGCATCAAAATGGTTTCGCGGCATTCTCGGCCTCAAAAGACCAGACTCGCCATCTCCTTCGGTTTCACTTCCAAAACCACCCAAAGAGAAACGCCGTTGGAGCTTCGTTAAGTCTTACAGAGAAAAGGACCATGCCACCGTCCAGCACCACTCCGTCGAACCCGCCGAGCCTCACGACCACTCCGTCGCCGTCGCAGCTGCCACCGCTGCCATTGCGGAGGCCGCCGTCGCTGCTGCTCATGCTGCCGCCGCCGTGGCTCGACTCACTAGCAGTGGACGGTGCGCCGCCTCCACCGCCGGGGGCATTGTTCGATCAGAAGAATGGGCAGCCATTAAGATTCAATCCGCATTTCGAGGCTCTTTGGTTCGTATTCATTATTCATTTTAATTTTAACAATAAACGAAAACTATGGGTTGCTATTTACATACAACGTTAATTAGTTTCCGTTATTTTGTTTTTCTTTTATTGTTGGCGGTGGAAAGAGGTTTGTTTTATGAATAAAAGAAAGATCCGGGAAGATGGGTGTGTTAGTGAATAGTGTGTTGGAAAGCGAAAATAGAGTGTGTCTGTGTTTGCAGATTTGGCCTATCTGTGAGACGGTGTGTTTTGTTGCGAAGCTGATTCCTTTTACTACTGAGTAGTAACAGTGAGGGGTTTTTGTATGTCGTTTTTTGCTGAGAAGTTGTCGTCTGGTAAAGTTTGCCTACAAAATATGGTATTTACCATTTCCTTTTCTTCCTCTGAATCATCATTTATTTTCTTCTGGTGACAGCCACTAACGTGCAGCGAGGTATCAGCATGTGCCCCCCCTTCCCTCTTCCCCTTTTAAGCCTTGCATTGTCCATCGCTTCCTTCTGTTCACTCTCTGTGTTGGCGTTTTCACAATTAAATGTGACAGTCTTGCTTTTCACTCTTTTCTCTCGCTTTACATTTTTTTTTTACCTTTTTGAATTGTGGGAGAAACTTTTTATGAATAAACTGGAACTGCCGGTATTTTTATGTAAGGATAGATTAGCAGATTAAATGGTGATTAAATTATTGTACGTTCTAATTCTAGAAGGATTTTTAACCGAGTGTGAAGGTAATTTGAAAATTCGTATCCTTTTTCTCTGGTAAAAGAATCATCTTTGCTTGTCTCTTGCTCTTTGTGGGGGCAGATACAAATCTAAAGGAGCTTCGCCGCTCTGTAAGATACGTTTCTTTTTGGGTGGACTTGGATTACTTTTTCAGCACATTCAAGTTTGGTTAGTTGACGACACTATTAATACTATTAATTACTAAATACGACTAATGTTTCCATGTGCAGCAATACTTCCACAATGCTTACTGTATAAATATTTATTTTAATCTCTTACTTATAAAATGATATTTATTTTTGTCTTTTTAAATATATACTATAATAAATTAAGATAAACTAAAATAATTAATTTTTTTAAAAAAAAACTAGTAAAATTTAAAACTAAATAAATGAATGCTTATAATTTAAGGCACTAAAATAAATATGTATTTGCATGTTAATATTTAAATACTACACAAATGTCTTCCCTTTGTGGCTTTCTGTCCCCGTCTTCTTGCAAGCATGGCATAGGCCTGAGTAAGGACTTATTATTAGACTTAGAGATTATTTATCTTATTAAACCTTGGAGGCTTATAGTAATATTTGCAAATAAATCATTAATAAAATGATCTGAAATGGAAGATCACAACTCGTATCTAAGATCTTTCAGGGTGCTCAATCATTAATGTAGTTATTACACCAAAAAAATAAATAAATAATCAATGCAGTTCATTACTACCAGTACCTATAACTCTGAAATCAACCTTGGTGAAATCCAGATAATAATTCTGCAAATTTGCTCTCTGATGTTGACATTGTTAGGCAAGGAAAGCTCTGCGAGCTTTAAAAGGATTGGTGAAACTACAGGCATTGGTAAGAGGTGACATTGACAGGAAGCGCACAGCAGAATGGTTGCATAGAGTGCAAGCCCACTTACGCATACAGGCCCGACTCCGTGCTAGCCGGGCCCAAAATTTGCTCTCCCCATATTGGAATGCAAAGTCGTCATCCATTGCATACCTTCACGTAAGCATTATCAATCAGAATATTTTATTATGCATATCAAATATTTCAATTTTAATGGGATAACAGCACTGACTTTGTCCTTAACAATTTCCTCTTTCATTAGTTTTTCCTCTTATTATTAGTTTTTATTTGATATAGACGGTGTTAGAAGAGCTATACCTATTGTCATGTTCTAGTTTAGTTGCATTTAAAGTGAGATATATCCACTTTGTCAATCAAATTCAAAATGATATTGATGTTTCCAGCACATTAGTTGATTTGAGTAGTCACATATGCTGCTAACAGTTGAAATGGTATGCTTTATTCATTGGTTAATGAATGATGTCACATTGTCCTTCATATGATCGTTGGTTATTTAATAACACGTCTTGTATTTACAGGGTCCAGCAACGCCAGACAAATTTGAAAGCCCAATCAGATCCGAGAACATGACATATGATCATTCATCATCGGTATTCAAGGTATGTTTCTGTCTACCTCTTCCAACAAGGGGGGAATTCAGTGCATGATCGAATTTAGTACACTTATAGGAGCATTCATTTCTGTCATTGTAGAGAAACAGCTCCAAATCCCGTGAACAAATCAGTGGCAATCAAGAGAAATATGGGAACAGATCAGATAGTCGTGTTGATGAACAACCATGGAATCAACGAAGATCGTGGACAAGAACTTGTAATATGGATGAAGAAAGAAGTGTCAGGATTCTTGAAGTTGATTCTGGAAAGCCACACATCACATCAAAACGTAGAAACCTCTTTTACTATCCTAGCCAAGCCTTGGTTTCGGATCATTACAGTCAGAGTTTGACCCACACAAAGGACTCAACAGTGTCTTATCAAACGGGTCATAGTCAATCTTCCTGTGAAGTTGAGTCTTATAGCCCTTTAAATATGAACGAGGTTGAGGAAAGTTCATTCAGCGCTGCTGAGAATAGTCCTCAAATATTATCTGCGTCTTCCAAAGATGGGAGCGCCAAAAGAAGTCCTTTTACTCCTACAAGGAGTGATGGGTCAAGAAGCTATCTAAGTGGTTATTCTGAGTATCCAAGTTACATGGCTTACACTGAGTCTTCAAAAGCAAAGGTAAGATCTCTCAGTGCTCCAAAGCAAAGGCCTCAGTATGAGAGGTGTAGCTCTTCTAATAGGTACTCTCTTCATGCATTTGGTGAGTCAAAATTGGCCACACAAGGGGTATCTGCATTGCACGCAAGCTTCACTAGCAAAGCCTATCCCGGTTCTGGTCGTTTGGACAAACTTGGTTTGCCTGTGGGGTATAGATACTGACGTATGCGTTTGTGTTAAAATGGATTATGGTTTCTGCCTCTCGACCTTATTTTGAGTGGAGTGTATCTTTGCTAACATGTTGTATTTAGCTTCAAACCTTCGCTGTCCAAGTTTAGTTTTTATTTTCTCTCTTTTTTGTGCCACATTTAGAATTCTGTAATCGGCCCATACCGCTACCAAGTGTTAAAAATGACTTGCTCTTTGACTTGTGTTAGCGGGTTCTTTCCAACTCCTCTTAGTATGTAAAAGCTATTTCTTGCCTAATAAGTAAGTGAATCTTTCATGGCCAAATTGAAAGGACTTTTTAGTGGATGTAGCAAATATATGAAGATCATTCATTGCTTTGCATGGTTGTACTAAGGAAACAAGGCTTAATGATTAATGTACTCAAAACATATATTTAGAAGAAATGTTGACCTCAAGTCTTAATATTGGAATCAAGTAACTGAATATCACAAGCTTTTATTGAGTAATTATGCATTTAATACATCAAGAATATATAAGTGTACTAAAAGTTATTTTTTTTTTATAAAAAAAAGTTATTTTCAAATGTTTAAAATCAACATTAAGAGTTAAGATTAACAAAATTGTACATTTAAGTAAGGTTGAGACGTTGAAATATGAAGCCAGTAAGCATAATTTTGAATGGCATTATAAGATAATACAGCAATTTCTTTTGTTCTTCTTCATGGTCAACGAAATCCCCCTTGCTTGAGAAAAAAAAATTGAAGGTGCATCGTTTTTTTATATCGTTGCATAATAATTATTTGGAGGTAGGGGTACTTGTACTTTTATTTGTGTATTCATACTCCACCAAGAATTAGTAATTATAAACTTTAATTGAGTATGGTCATTCTATTAATACTCCCGTTAATCTATTCTCACTCTTTGTTAACAAAATTGAAACTATAATTTCTTGGATCAAACTAATTTAAAATAAATTTTTATTAAGTATTTTTTAACTAAGCATTAGCATTCATTAATTACTTTTTCCCTTGTTGTCTTTTTGTTTTGCATCTTCACTTAAAATGTTGAATTCTTATACACTTTGTATAAGTTTGATTTCTGTTTTTAAAACCCTAAACCCTAAACCCTAAACCCTAAAACAGAAATCAAACTTACTCTAATTCTTCAATTTTAAAATTAAACAATTAGCTGAGTATATTAATTTTTAAAAAATAATATTTTTACTAACTTCAAAATAGATTTTTAAAAAAGTAATTGTTTTTCAAAAATATCATTTTCTAAACATGCATTGAGTGTGTCTTGTGCTACACTAATGTAAAACATAGAATAAACAAAAAGACTTCTTAGAGCATATAGGCAGAGAGCTTGTGTGTTCACATTGATTAGTTAAAATAAAATAAAATAAAAATTGAAAGTAATATGAATATTCAGTTAAAATGGATATTGTGAATATGTGATAAGAAATCAATGTTTAAAGTGACATTGCAAGAGAAAGGAAAAAGAGGTGAAAGTATTTGATAAATATTAATACATCATAAAAAATCCAATCCTTAACAAAACGTTTGTTTCAGTGTAGCAACTATATTTTAATCCCCTCCTTTTTTTTAAGGTTGCATTATTTGGACATTAAATTCATTTCATATGATTTCTTGTTGCTGTTTGTATTAATTTAATATGGTACCACTATGCACCGTTACTAGTGTTATTGTAGAAAACATTTTATTTAAAGAGGGTGATGGAAAAATACATTCCCTGTTTTTAACCCAGCTCATGCAAAAATAAAATCTAATTGTTAGTGTTAATTGTACAATGTTAAATGCGTACTCAATTACAGCATTAAAAATCTTCCTGGAATGACAATGAATTTTATTTTTAAGTTATTAGCAGAGTGGTGATAGGCAAATTGGCGTGTTAATAGTCCCATCCTTATTTAGGCGTATCTAATTTAAGATAATATTTTTTAATTTTTATTTAAAATAATTTTTATAAAAATATTACGTATTATATTTGCTCAAACCAAACAAAATTTTATGTCTGAGCAACATTTATATTGTTAAATAAATTTTAAAATGATTAAAAATGATTTTTTAAAATATTTATAAATTAATCTTTTCAATTTTATAAAAATGATTTTAAGACCCGTAATTTCTTTAAAAAATTTACACTTACACTGTAAAATTCGTTCCATTTTTTTTTATCTAAATAAATAAAACTTTCAGATTTAACTTTGAAATATCTCTCGTAAATATAAAATATTTTTCAACTTCAAATACTTCAAAACTCAATCTAATCCTTATAGGTTTGATTTTTTTATTGCAAATTGAAAAATCGACAAGTATTCCGAATTTAAAATTAAAGGGATGTGTATTTCTAATGTTCTTTTCATAGACAGGACCAATATAATTAATACAGTCGTTTAAGTTTAAAATCATAATCAATTTCTTATATTATAATGAAATGAAAGGGACTAGTTCAAAAAATTTTAATTTTTAAATTGAAACTATTTATAATTATTTAAATTAATAAAAATGCAATCGTGATCCGATACTTGATCTATCGGTTAACTTGCTATTAACTAAGCAATTAAAGGGCATCGCGGTGTCGTGGTGTAGTTGGTTATCACGTCAGTCTAACACACTGAAGGTCTCCGGTTCGAGTCCGGGCGACGCCAAGGCGGTGAATGGCCTTTTTGGGTCGCTTTTTTTAATATATATATTTTGAAGAACTCGGGATCATTGAATTGATTCAATTCAAGACTTAAAAATGGAAAAGAGAATTTGATCCCTGGTATTTTAGTTGGTTAATGTTTTTTAGCTGGACCAACAATAAAAAAATTTTAGATGATTTTTAATTTTTTAAAAATTGCAAAAAATATTCATCAGTTTTATTTTATTTTTCTCTTTTCTCCTTTCTCCTTTCTGTCTATTTGTCAAATAATGCCTTTGTATGCTCCTTATAAGCTGTTAAAAACAATCATAGGAAAAATATGTTAAAAAAACATAAAAGGACATGTTTTAGTGGAGTACGCGAAAACAATCATAAGAAATTCAAGAATCTGAAATCATCACACTATGTAATTAGCCAAAAGGAGTGGGAAATCTTTGTAGCCATTATGCTGAGTTAACAAAACTCCTGACGAGTACAAGAATTCATCATACAATACAAAGGCCAAACAAGTGGCGATGAAGGGTCTCTCTCTTGTAACCCTTTAGCCGGCATAAAGTAATCTGTACTTCCAAATTGCATTGCACTAACACAGTCCACTTTATTTAAACTCATCGCACCACCACCACCACCACCATGCTTAACACAACCCTCTAAATTTACGTCGATTTATAGTGTAGTAAGATTTTTAATTTGTTTACCTAAATGATTTTTTAAAATTAACATTCTCAGGGAACAGAAAATTATAAAACTTATTTACTTATTCTGTAAATTTTTTAAGAATAATATATCTACAATCAATTATCATAGTAAACTTTAGTAATTTCGCACTACATTATTATAGACATTTTTTATTCTGACTTATAAAAGTGAAAAATTACTATTTTTATTTATTTATATATATTGTATTAAACGTCACCCTAATTGTAAAAAAAAAAAAAAAGTCTCCCACTCACCAAACCTTATTTTTACAAATGGCAAAATTATAATTGATATAGAACCAAAATTATTAAAATAGATTTAACTAAAAGATCTTAAATTTTAAATAGCCAAATCGTCAATTTTATTTATAAATAATATGTCTCGCTTTCTGACTTCTTTTTTTTTTCCAACTAAAGGAAACATTTCTGTTTTAAAAACCAAAAATGCCATCTGCAAACCCATGCTTTATTATCTTAAAAAAATAACTACGTACAAACAAAAAAAAATTTATATAGTAATTTTTAATTTAAATATAGAATGTTATAAAATTTAATATATTAATAATATTAAATATTATAATTTTAATAAAAAATTATTTATTTATATATTTAAATTTAATCTTAAGGGTTAAGATTAAGAAAAAATCTTTATTGGTTAAAACGTTTAAAATAGAAGTTAAAAATGTTTAATAAATCCACGCCTAATGAAGTATGTTAAAAATAGAAAAAAAATTCAAAAATATTATTATTTCAAATTAATAAATAGATATTGGAATATATTTTTATGGTAATTTAAAATTTTTAATATACACCCTTAAACACATTTAAAAAAATGATTTAAATAGTAATAATGGATAATATAAAAAAAATTAAATAATTGACTCTGTATTTAACATTGATTATTTTTGTATGAACTTTATAAAAAAAATATATAAAAAACCATGAACGTAAGTAACTTTTATTCTTTAACAAAATATTTTAATTTAAAAAAATTTTACCACTTTTTTGAGAACATCAATTAATATTAATTATTTTTATACGAATCTTATTAATTTCAACATTTAAAGTTAAGTTTAAACACTTAAAGTAATAATATTTTATTAAAAAATTATTTATTATATTAAAATTATAAAATTATAATAATTTTATATTTGTAAAATAAAATCTGAATGTTATTAATTCCTTAAAATGTTGAAATGAAAATTGTTTTATTAACATAATAATTTGTTGAAAGAAAAACACAATTTGCTATCTAAGAAAGTCTTTGGTTAATCCGAACAGAAACGGGACAAACGGCACCGGATGATAGGCAGCCTCAACCTCATCACCCCCACTCCGAAAAATAAAGAAAGAAAGAAAAGCTTGTCATCATCACTCGTCACCATTTCCATTTTATTGTTCCCAATTTCCAACTCTCCTTATTACAGATAGGTAAGGTATCAATCCATCTCTTCCTCTTATGTTCAAATCAAAGCCATAATCATTCACATCTTCATCTTCCTCTACCACTTTCACTCACTCTTCTGCACAATCAATAACACCTTTCCATGTTCTTCTGAAACCACTCAATACTCGACTCGCTGAGTCACGTTTCTCGAATCAGCTTTTCAATCTCAACAAACATGGCCACCGCAAGGTTCCCTAACCATTCCTCCGAGGACATCGTCGATTCTACGCCGCTGTTGGCCAATTCCGGCGTCTCTTCCGACGACCTTAACTCTGGTCGTCGATTTGTCCGGCGACAGAGGCTCCGGCAAGCGGCGCGGTTTCTCCGGCAGGCCAGCGGGAGGAGGATGATGCGTGAACCCTCGATGTTGGTTCGAGAAGCTGCTGCGGAGCAATTGGAGGAGCGCCAGAGCGATTGGGCTTATTCGAAGCCCGTTGTCGTTCTTGACATTGTTTGGAACTTCGCCTTCGTTGTTGTGGCAGCCACGGTGTTGGTTTTGAGCGTAAGCGAAGCACCGGGCATGCCTCTGAGGTTGTGGATAGTAGGGTACGCGTTGCAATGCATTCTTCACATGGTTTGTGTTTGTGTGGAGTATAGGAGGCGAAGGAGGCACCAACGTAACATGGTGGCAGTGCAAGACATGGTTGGTAGCAGCAGTGGGAATTTGAGTTCCGCTTCAAGGGAGGGTTCTGCTTCTGCTTCTGGTTCGGGGCAGTATGTGTCGTTGGCGCAACTTGACGAGGAGGGTACTAGGTGAATTACTTCACCTTTTTCTTTTTCGTGTTTTAATTCGGTTATTTTTATACTTGTATTGATGGATGAGGCATTAATGAACCTTTCATGTGAACTTTTGGAACTTCATGATTCCTAAACGAAATTAAATGTGTATGTTTTCCCATGTGATTGATAACACTAGATTAAGCTGATGCCTGATGTGAATTCAGCAATATAGAAGATCAATAACTCTCCAGGAGAAATTGTTACATAAACCTAAACCCATGAGGTTGTCTTGTTTAGCATGTGTTAGAGCAAGTCTTGGTACAATGACAAGGTCGTTGCCTTTGAACTGGAAGTCATGGGTTTTGTTAAGCTGTTATTATCATTAGTTAACAGTTATAAGTAGTTTCTTATTGTAATAGATTTTGGATTAGGTTAGTTAGTCTGTTAGATTGTTTAGCTGTTGCAGCTTGTATATATAAATAATGTATAAACCTCATAGTTAATAACAGAACACATTATTCATAATCAAGTGGTTTAATTCCTAGAATGGGTTTCTTCACTTGTGGGGATAAGGCTGTGTACATCTATGCTCCATAGACCCCTCTTGGGAGGAGCCTTGTTCTCAATATTTCCCGTGCCGGCTAGGAGGAATATGGCCAAAGTAGCTTTTATAAGACTTAGACAATTCTCTCCATGTAACTAACTTTTAGAATTGAGATAGACCCAATTTGTTTCTAATACTTGTGCACTAGATCAGCCTTTTGTTTAATGTATGTGTTAGATTTAGAATTCCAATTCTGTGTAACAATTTAAAACGCTTGAAACATAAGAAACCGTTACAAAATTTTAGCCCTAAAAATTACAATTGCAAGGGATGAGCTTTTCACGGACTTAAAAGGCTTACAGATGGAAATGGTATTTCATGTTTCATTGTTTATTGTCTTTGTCGTTTTCATTCTCAATCAAACAATATTGTTTGTGTACTAAAGCAACCGCGGCCTTTTCAAAGTATTCCTTCATTTGGTTTTTTTCTTTGTCGTCGTCTTTCACAATTCTCTGTTTGAACCCGCTGCCCCCCATCTTGCATTGGTCTCTAAGTCAATCTTCCTGACAACCTAGTAATCATTCCATACAACTTGGATATTCCACTTCAGCTACAATTCTACAGCAAGGCAGAAAAATGATGAGTATTAATGAGTTCAACCAAATATATTTTAGTAATAACTAATAAGGAATTTTAATTTTAATATCATTTAATAATTTAAATTTGAGCAATACATTTCTAATTTACACATCAATTTGCTGTTTGTCTCAAGCATAAATTTAAGATTCCAAGTGAATTCTAATGATGTCAGATTTTAAGTTATTTTGTTAACTATAATCTTGCCTCTATTGTGCAAATACACTCTTAATTGTGAATACAAAATGGTAAGGTTAGGTTCAACTGTGCAAGTGTGTTATTCCGCTGAATTAATGTGTTTGTTTAAGATTAATAGCATGCCATTTTTTAATACATTATTTTTACCTCATTTGCATTAACCTTCAAACTTGAATGAATTGCGTATTTCGTACATATAATTGGGATGAAATGATTGGTTCAATATTTATTACCTTTTATTATTAATTAAGGACAAGAACAATTATTGTCATACATTTCGCACGAGTTCCATCTATTGTCTGATCAATGTAATTGTCAATGTTACTTTTCTTATGTTTATCCATTTTTATGTTTGTCCTTTTCTCCCAGTGTTGCAAAGCATTTGGAATCAGCCAATACAATGTTTTCATTTATTTGGTGGATTATTGGATTCTACTGGGTATCAGCTGGTGGTCAAGCATTAGCCCAAGATTCTCCTCAGCTTTACTGGTTTGTACTCTTCGAGTCTATCTAGTTCTAGTTGTTCTTATATCATTATTATTTATTATTCATTTTATTGTAATTTACTCATCTCTTTGCAAATACTAATATATTCTTATTGACAGAATCTATATACTTTGCAGGCTATGTATAATCTTCCTGGGTTTTGATGTTTTCTTTGTCGTTTTCTGTGTTGCACTGGCATGTATAATCGGCATTGCTGTTTGCTGTTGTCTTCCATGCATCATTGCACTTCTTTATGCAGTTGCAGACCAGGTAAGTCATGTTTGATCTGTCATTAAATGTTCTTGTTTTGAAGTCTTTGTGGACATATGAATCTAGTGTCTCAAAAGCTTCAACTGGAAATAGCATATCGTGTGTAAAGTTGGGTTCAAATTTGTTAAGCATTGATAATCTTTGAAGTGACTTTGCTAATTTAGTCACTTCAACATATGTAATAATAATTTGCAAAAAGTCAATACTGGAACCTTTGCATTATTAGAAACATGAATGGACAGATTAGACAAGTGTAAGTCTGAATATATTTGTTTTGCTATGTTAGTAAAGTAGCTATACATAGTTGAATTGTCCTACTTTGGTACTATTGTGTTTGTGCTATACATAGTTGAATTGTCTTACTTCTGTACTATTGTGTTTGTGCTAACGCACTGAATGTGACCCCTCCTTACGATATAATAGGAAGCATAAGGGAATAAGGGATATACAAATTATACACAGATTCCTAATATTAATGTGTTCTTACTTGATCTTCTATTTTTCTGCACATGGGAAGACCTCAGGGACTGTTTATGAACTTGTATCCTTCAGATTTTTTGGGATTGAAGGTTAGGAAAATTATGAAATTAAAATTATTTTATTGTAAAATTAGAAAGACAAGATTTGGAGAGAAAACCCATTTATTGTAAATTCGCATTTTTTTTCCCAGATCATGTAAAACTAGGGAAGCCAAGAAAAGGCTGTGTTTAAGTATCATATTTAGCTCTGATCTTGTGAGCTAGACCAATCAATTTGCATTAATGTTACTGGAGGAAGATTTAGGAAGAGTAGGAGATGGTGGCTGCTTGGATAGGATAGGTTGCTGAATTTCATGGTATGGACACTGCCTTGAGGGCAAGATGAAACTGTAGCTTCTTTTTTGGCGGGAGGGGGTGTCAGGTGTTGGTATTGTTAGGGACCACACATAATTAGAAAAGGAAGATTGGGATTTGGGGCTTTTCACATTTGTAATTAGAAAGAAAAGGGGGAAATGGGAGTTGGTTAGGACAATTTTTGATAGATTGACAGAGAAGGTTAGGGTATAGTACAAGTTTCTCGAATACCTGGAATAGGAGTGTTAATGCAACTGTTATTCTGCTCTATCTTTGTATCTTCACTTCCTTATCTCTTATCTTGTATCCTATTGACAGAGGCCCGGAGATAGAGGTTTCTGTCAATATTTCCTTCTATATGACGATCCAGTTCTATTGTGAACTTTGCCACATAACTTGGTTTCCCATGACTTTGTAGTAGATTGTGAATGTATCACTTATTACTGACATGAGAAATTCTGTTGGCTACAATTTGGTTGTTGACCAACATAAATGAAGTGTATTTCTGAATTTGAATGTTTGACTAGTCATGATGACAATTTTGTGTACTCTAGGACTATTTGATGGGATATATTTACTGTAATTTATGCGTTATTAATTGTCATTGCTCTCTTTCTATTGGCACACAAGCAGGAAGGGGCATCAAAGGAAGACATTGAGCAGTTGTCAAAATTTAAATTCCGAAGAATTGAAAGTAATGAGAAACTTACTGGTACTGTGCAAGGACCTGTTGGAGGAATAATGACTGAATGCCAGGCTGATTCACCTATTGAACATGTTCTTGCTGAGGAGGATGCGGTATGTTGTAAATTTTTGTTTTATATGGGCTTACCCTTTTCTGGTGGTCATGTTGCTATCCCTTATTAGATGTTGTTTCACTATATTTCAATGGGAAATTCGTGTTTCAAATAGAGGTTTTGTTGCATTCTTTTTTAATTGTTATTATTATCATAGTTTTGATATGTAAAATGTGGAGTCACCTTCATAACACATTCTTTCACTGAAGTATGCAATTTGTAAATATGTTGTTTGTCTCTGTGCTTGGCTTGTATGGAGTATTTTCACTATCACATTATAATGGTTGGGGTGCATGCTGTATAATTTTTATATAGTAACTCAGTGGCTTGACGTGTGGCTGCATCCTCAGTCACCGCAAATCTGAAATTTTTATTTTTTTTGGTGGTGTACTATAGGAATGTTGCATCTGCCTTTCTTCATATGACGATGGGGTTGAACTAAGAGAACTTCCTTGTGGTCACCATTTTCACTGTGCCTGTGTGGATAAGTGGCTGTATATTAATGCTACATGCCCCCTCTGCAAGTATAACATCTTGAAAAGTAGCAATCTCAGTCAAGAGGAAGTGTAGAAGGTGTCAGGAAGGTTTTTAGCAGCCATGTTGAGGAATCTGCATACTCTTGATTCACAGTGTAATAGGGCACAGCATGTTAATATACTTTGATTCAGGCCCCGTGCGGTTGTTGCTGTTGCTGTTGCTGCTGTATGCTGTTACCATGTAATGATAACTGTTGATTATTTGTAGTTATTGTGGCTTCTAACTGGTTGTGTATATTAATGTTGTTGAGAGCAGATCGGCTATAATTATCTGAAGAGGCAATTCGGTTGTTAGTTTTGTTGTCATCATTATTATTGCTGTATATGAGACCCATAAGCCACTGTGGAATGGTTTGTCTCGGTATATGTTATGAAGAGTCCAGCTGCCTTTATTTTTATATCGTTGGTATTATTGAGAGAATTTTCTCAAGCATATAATAATAGACAGCCTGTAAGGCAGGCCATGGACATGGAGTGTGGACGCACGGAAAATTGTCGTTTGGTTCATGCTGGGTAAAGATTTTTAAACCATGCTGCAGACATTATGTTGTATCTCCTCATCACTCACTAGTGAATCTGGATATGTTATTAATGATATTATATTTTTTTCAAACATGTATAACATGTATATTATAAAAAAATAATTTTTTAAATTATAGCATTTAACATGTATTATTTTGGAGCATTTAATAAAATTATACATATTGTACAATGTTATACAAATTTTAAAAATTGATATTTTTTGTCATTAGAATGTATGAAACTCATGACTAATGTTTATGGGGAATTAATATCATCATCTACTTTAGTTAAAGTGGACGACGCTGACGAGGGAAACGGAGAAAATAAGAATAAGAGAAACAGCTCTCTAGTTTGAAACATCAAAATTATGTAGGACGGTAAAGGAGCACAAGGGGAACCTCCGTGTTATTTTCTTTACTAGTTTTCCAAAAGAGTGATGTGATCTTGTTCTATAGTTAAAATGGCCCGCACAGCGTTAAAAATTATGTAGAATAACCTAAAAGAAAAAAAAAATAGGATTACGTGAAGAAGCTACCTTCATTAATTAACAATGGATTACTGAATTCATAAATTAAGTTGAACAGTTTCCTACAGGGCCTCCATAGAAAATGCAATTGAGAACGTGAGGTGCTATAACATTTGGACGTAACGCCATGGATCATAATGGTCCCACGGAAGATGATATTGATTAGGATCATCCTACTGCTACTCCACATATTGAAGGGTATTCAATTTTGGGGGGTCAGTGACACTGAATGTTGTTAAAATAAGCATATTTTCTACGACCTCCTCCTTCACATGGGAGAAGAACCTGTTTCGTCTTTATCTTGTTGTGGTCCATCTTAGGGACTTGCTTTGTCTATAGGCCTAACACCTATCTAAGGATTTCAAGTCCAGTAAATATGGCATTGGGCCAGCTATGCCGATCCTATGCGTAGTAATCGGTCAAAAAGATAAAGAATAGTGGGTAAGTTATCTATTCATGTATAATATATCAACTATGATCTTTTTTACATTTATTCTACGCTAATTTTTTTTAATTATTATATCACCTCTTATATCTTTCAATTTTTTTATTCTCTTCCTTTTCTTCCCCGTTTCTCTTTCCTTTACTTTCTTTTTTTACGAATTTTTTTAAAAAAATTCTAATAAGAAATTGAAGTCCTTATTTTTTACACTTTAAATTAGTTTTATGTATTGAACAATTTGTAAGTAAATTCCTGAAAATTTAAATTATTTTTAATTTATCCCATTTTCATTAGCGCATGGATTTATCTTAAATATTTTAAATATTCTAAGATTTTAATAAATAATTAAATTAATATCCTGGTTCTTTTATTATTTATAAAAATTTTAATTAAGTTCCATAATTAATAAAATTTTAACAAGAAACAGAATTATTTTTAATTTAAATACTATCATTCAATCATAAATTATTATATTAATAAAAAATATTTGTTTACAATAATTGATATAAAAACCATATACACAACATATTTTAATCAATTAACATTGTAAAACTTTTTACAATGGTAATACATTAAAATTAATTTCTAATTATAAATTTTTAAAATATAAAAGTTGATATTAAAATCTATAAGCGGTTGAAAATTCAAATATCAACTTGACCTGACTTTTAACCTTCATGTTACAGCACTCAGCACTTGGCGTGGGGCATGTCATATTGCCATATTTAAAAATAGTACTTTACCAAATGTGGGATGAAGACTTAGTTTGATGATAAACCAAAAGTAGTAAATTTTCCAACATTTTGATATCTGATTACAGTGGCACTGAGAAAAAAAATGGGTTACAGTGCCTAACTGGTCCCTCCCTGATGCATTATGCAGTCCATGTGCGTGACTCTTATTCACTTTCCACTTTCCACCACTGTTCATGTCGCAAATTTTCCATTTTTTTGCGGCGCTTACACTCCTATTCTATTCATTGTCAATTTTACAATTAATAATTAATAGCGTTTACATCATTTATATATTTTTCATTCTAACTGAATAATTTATTTTATTTATAAAAATATTTTATGGCTAAACTTAAAATTTCTCATATATATCTTGTAGATTTAGATGAGATTATTTTTAACCATAATTGTTTTTGCAATTATTTATCAAAATATTTAAAATAAGCAATTTTATAAACAAAGCTTATCCAAATATAAGTTCAATTATTTAATTATAACGATCTCACCGGAAACATTATTGGGTTGAACATTATGAAAGTGGCATTATTCTTATCACTTACGAAGTGTGATGATCGAGAACAACGACTCTTCACTTACACGTAAGATTGTGTTTTTAAAATTTTAATAATAATTTTAACATAAAAACTATTGACTGTTGATATCGACAGGGAAACAAACCCTAATGTAATCTAGAAGGAAAAAACAATAAAATGAAACTTAATAATAATAAATCATAAGATATGCGGATTTAATAAAAATATAATGAAAATATGAACAGGTGATTTTTTAAAAAGATATTACAAAATTATGAAAAATAAAAAATTCACTGAAAATTTTTGAAAAAATTTTAAAAATAAAATAAAATGTTTTTGGTAAAAAATTATCACTGATAAATTTTAAAATGCCATATTTCCTTAAAAATAAATACAACTTTACCTACCGCAGAATATTACTCTACAGAACTCTCCCCCCCAAAAAGGGGATTGATATTACAATTCTTATCGAATCCATAGAATGCAAAACCTAGAAATTAAGCCAAGAACCAGATCGGTGGCTTTTTTATGAGGTGGTTCCACGTATTCACATTAACCTCCAAAAGCAACTCCAAACTCAGCTCCACATTTTCATTAATTATTGATTTGAAACATAGTCTCGCGAGTGCTCATGCCTGTGCTTGCGCTGCAATCAACGATGCCAACTGCGAACCGCTGTGACGGGTATCCCAATAACAGTCCGACACGTGTCGAGAGGCGGTGATGCCCAACCCTGCAACCTGATGGAAAGATTAACAATAACGTGGCTTCTGGAACCGTCTCTTGCCCGTAGCCGGTAGCTGAGGAAGCGTACGGAATCAGGAGGGAGAAGGCCAATGTCAGAGGCCGGAATCAGGCACGAGGCCAGTTGCGTGGGGCCCACAAATCGGCGCTTGATGAATAGTTGGAGGTGCAGGCACGAATACGTGTCGGAAAAGAAGGTGGAATCCACTGGGACGCGGAACACGTGCTCCCGCGTTGGTCCTCGTCCGTCGTAGCGGTGCACCATGTGCGTGGGAAGGACGGTGAGAGCGAAAAGGGGTGTGATGCGGTTGAAATAGGAAGAGTATTTGTTAAGACCCTCGGCGGAGACGACGGTGATTTCCAACGTCGTCATAACACATAATCCTAATGATTGTCGTTTATGATGAGAGTGAGTGAGGGAGTGAGTGCTGCTTAATGTTTTAACTTTTATGACTGATAATGGGGACAATGCAATTTCGTGGGTGCTACCACTGGAATAAAACCCGCCGTATTATTGACTTTTGGAGTTTTTCATTTCCCGCTTTCCCAAGTCAACAAAACGGCCTCTTCATTTTCTTTAGGTGCTTTCCCTTTTTTAAAAAAAAAATTAAGTATATATTACATGATTTTTAAGTATTTAATTTTAAAATGATTTTAATGAGATAAGATTATTTAAATAATAAAATTAAACTGTTTTTGAAGTAAAAATCGAATATACTAATACAAATTCTTAAGTTTCGTAGTTAAGTAATTTTCATTTGGAGAAGAAAAATACTTTTAAAATCAGTTTTATTAATCTTAAATTGGGTCATTTTTTTGTTTATGGCATTTTTATCATGAAAGGAAAAGTTCCTGAATATGGACTTGTAATGAATATTACATGTATATGAGATTTGAAAAATCGCATGTGGCAATTTTTAAAGAATGAAAATTCGTTTAACATAAAAAATGCTACTGACAACTTTTAGGATTAAATAAATAAATTTTTTGCGTAATTAAAACTTATTGTTGGCGATTTTAAAGTAGAAAAGTACTTTTATATATTCAAAAATTGCCACTTGTGATTTAAAAAAAAAAAATCACCATTGGTGAGTTTTCAAAATATTTGTCTATATATAACTCATTTGTATTTTTAGCGAATTGCATCTTAAAAATCTTTTATTCTACATTTTTTAATTCTCTTTCCTCATATTTTATAGTTGAAGAAAAATAAGTGCAAATACAATAGTCTACTTTAATGGTGAGATTATTTTAGATATAAGTGAAGCTGTGAGATTTATGTGTGAGAAACCAACTTACATTTATATTCCTTATAATATATCATTTGAAGTACTTAAATATTGGCTTTGTCAATATATTGAAGTGGAGACTCTAAAAACAGTGGAGAGAATAATCTACAGGTGTTCAATCTCTATTTTTGGAGGTTTCATGCAATATCAAGTGATAACAATAAGCAATGATGATAATATTCAACAAATGTTTTAGATTTAATACGAGCGTTATGACCAAATTCCTTCAATTGAGTTGTATGTTGTTTTTAAACAAATTACAATTAGTGCATATGCCAATATTGTTCCTAACAGAGATGTTGAATGGGAACAAAACATTGCCGAAAGCGATGATGACGACTTTGAAGGAGATTATGAAAGTGATGAGGATAGTGATGATGATAGTTTGGATGACGACACAAATGATAAGGACTCTTATTTATCAAACTCAGTGATTGACCAACATATGTTTGGGGCTCCATCATTCATGCGTGCTTTAGATCTTAATGCTATGTAAGTTCCTGAATTTTCAGAGTATGCTAACTTAGGTATGTTGACATGTTTTATTATATTTGTAGTAATAAATTTATCTTTAGTTGTGTGAATGATATTTAGTTAGTTTGTTTTTTTTATGTGTTTTATAGGTCATTGTGACGTAGACGGAGAATTGTATGTTGGAATGCAATTTAATGACAGAGAAGTTGTTGTATGAAAAATTAAGAGTTATAGTATATCAAAAGGATTGGACTACGAAGTTTCGAGTCTGAATCAAATACGTTTTATTGTAAATGCGTCAATTATGACATAGATTGTGAGTGGCTTGTTCGAGCTAGTTTGAGGAAGAACAAGTATTTTTGGAAAATTAAAAAGTATAACAGGCCACATAGTTGTACTCGTGCAAGGATTTCACAAAATCATAGAAAGTTTGGTGCAGAGACAATTGCAGAATGTATTAAGCCAATGATTGAATCTGACCCTTCTTTTAAGATAAAATTAGTGATTAGTGAAGTTCAAGCTCGATATGGATACACAAGAACATATCGGAAAGCATGGATGACAAAGCAAAAAGCAATTAAAAATGTATTTGGTCAGTGGGAGGCCTCATATGAAGCCTTACCGCAATGGTGTATAGCAATGTGTGATGTTGTTCGAGGATCAGTTGTTCAGTTGGATGTTGTTCAAGCTTATCACAATGATAATCAGGTTCTTGATGTTCAAATATTTCATAGAGTTTTTTGGAGTTTTGGTCCTTGCATTAGAGCATTCAGACACTGCAAACCACTTGTGCAGGTCGATGAGACACATTTATAGAGCATTCAGATATTGCAAACCACTTGTGTAGGTTGATGGGACACATTTATATAAAAAATACAAAAGAGCTCTATTAGTGGCAGTTGCACAAGATGACAATCAAAATATATTACTAATTGCCTTTGCTATTGTTGAGGGAGAAACTGCAGATGGTTGAAAAAAATTTCTTGATAATTTACGCAAATATGTCGTGACGCAAGATGACATTGGTATTATTTCTGATCGTCACGAGTCAATTAATGCGGCAATAAGATGAAGTAATGGACAGTGGGAACCTCCAAAGGCATTTCATATGTATTGTATCAGGCACATTGCTGCCAATTTTTTGCGAAGATTCAAGGCATTTTACTTGCATAAACTTATCGTCCATATGGGTAATTGACATTATTTTAGTACTTTTAAAATTATATGCAAATATTGTATGGATTTAGCAATGGTTAAATAGATGGGTTGGTGTTTTGCAGGTTATTTGAGAACGGAACATGAATTTAATATTCATTATGAGCAATTATGGCAACGTGGAGAGATTTAAACAGACTGGCTTGATGAAATTCCATGAGAGAAGTGGGTTCTTGCATATGACGGTAGGTATCGATGGAGTTATATGACCATTAACCTTGTTAAGTGCATTAATTCAGTGTTAAAGGGTGCTCGCAATCTTCCAGTAATGGCACTGATTATAGCAACATACTTTCGATTGCTGAGCTATTTGCACGTAAAGGGCGTGAGGCACATGCATGGAAAAAGGCTGGACATATTTTCTCTGAAGCAGTCATGACTCAAGTTTAATCATGTCAACAAACCTCTAGAAATCTTTGTGTGACTGTATTCAACAGAAGGAATGAGGTTTTTCTCGTTCAAGATGTATCCAACAGTCAAGAATATAAATTCTATTTGAGGCAAAAGTATTGTGACTGTGGTGACATACAAACTTATCGATATCCATGTCGTCATGTGATTGCTGCTTGCTCTAGTTAAAATATTGATTGGCGTGCTTATGTTGATGATATTTACAAAATTACTAAGATATGCAAAGTATACAAAAAGGAGTTTAGGGTAATTGGAAATGAAAACACATGGCGAAAATATAGAGGTCCAAAACTTTGTCCAAACCCGACCTTAAAGCGCACAATTATAGGTTGTCCGAAATCAACACGTTTTCTTAATGAGATGGATATGCGTGAGATGAGAAGACCACAAAGGTGTAGTCTTTGCCGAGGTGAAAGCCATAGTCGAAGGAGATGTCCAAATGCTCCTGGGTCTAGTTCACACTATTGATGTTTATGTTCGTAGTGTTGATGTTGTTGAAGTTAATGTACCCAATGTTGATCTTCATGTTCGTAGTGTTATTGTTATTGATGTTCATGTTCTTATTGATGTTGTTGTTCCTTTATTAATTCTTATATTTAGTTACTTTTAAATTATTAATCCTTCATTAAAAATATTAACTATTTATTTGACGAATGATGAAGAACATAACATTGATTAAGGAACATGGAAATGGAAGTAAATCAAAGTGAAAATAATAATTATACATATAGATGGAAATTTCATTGATAACAAACATAACATTGATTAACAAACTTGAAATTTAAAATACATTCAAACTATAGATACTAATTATAAGCCTAAATTATTGGTGTTCATGCTCATTTTCCCTTTTTCTTCTTGATTAGTGATGGGGTATATCTATCAAGGGCATGAGTAAACGGACGCAACATGCGTGAAAAAAAGCCCCTTCATCTGCCTCCTCTAGGTCCATCATCCTCCACACCCTGCTCATCTGTGGCCTCGCTTGTCTCTTCTTCATGTGATGTAGGTTCTACATCCAACACATTTGCAGATGCACCTGTAAATGTCTGTTGCGTCATCTCCCAAGACATGATTGGTATGGAGCATTGTTCACTTGGAGTAACTAGTTTTGGTTGATAAACTTCTTCATCAATAACTGCTTCTTCCAAGGTTGCGTTCTCATTAAGGTTAATTCTAATGTAAGGAATGTCTTAACAATGTGTGTCATCATCAACGACAAAGTCATATGTGGATAGAAACCCATGAGTCGTGACACTTCCAGTGCTACAATCAACAGATTTCCTTCCATGTGATCCTTTACTTTTGGAGTCATGACGAATATCTCTTTTATCCACAGACATGCGTGAAGGTTGGGGTTGTTCATCCCATTGAAATGGATGCCACTGGTTCGTGTGCAGTGACCAATAAAACTCCTCATTTAGTTGAACAGACGATGGTGGGATCCCTTGTTGCTGCGTGAGTGGAGACATGAAATTTTGCTCTAACAGGCACTGTTGTTGTTGAGATTGTGGCTACTACATTTGTAGGAACAACCAAAACCAATTCATTGAATAGATTGTGTATCAACTCCAATACTCATTCGAAGGGTTATAGTTGTCAATTGGCATTCCTTCTAATGTACGTTGATGTCGATTTTCCCACATTGTCACCCAATCATCATGTATTAATCTCTAATTTTTTGGTTCTCTTAAACCACGCAAGTCTTTGTTGTGGACTCCCTCAAGACTTTGGGGCGGAAGAGGAATAGACTGAGCAAATTCATATTGACACATTACACGGTCAGCTGCATGCCACTCTACAACCTCAAAGCATATCAATGGACTTACAGTTGACCATAATAGATGTTTGCCTTTCACGTCATCTAGAATAACTGCGTCAATAACTTCATCCTCATATGGTCGCCAGAAAAATTACATTAACACAAAATACATTATATATACCTTAGTAATGTGAAAGAGGTACAAAATTATTTAACAACAGTTAACATATATGAACTGATACCTCACGAAATCCTATTTTATCTAATGACACTCTAACATTTCCAAGGTCTATATGGAGTGTTGGTTGGATATCGAATGTGTCGTGATCTAAGTGCAAGTGGAAATATTATTGGTTCACCAAGTATTGGAGCAAACCACGGGAGCCGGTGCCATGCCCGTACCTGTAGCAGTATTAGGCATCTAAAATTTCTTTAGCATCTTGTTGTAAACCACGATCTAGACTTTTATACAAAAAGGCAAGGCATGTTAAACCCCAACTATATATTCCAATTTCATCAACATTCACCAACAACGGTAAGAATTTTCCATAGACTACTGAATTACTTTTATTCGGTATGTCCCAATAAAAAAAGTATGTATCCACGAGCATGTTGTGCTATCCTATGGTCATAATTAGTAGGAAGCCAACCAAAATGTTGCGTGATCTACTTCAATCTTATTTCCGAACCTTCAACATCTTGAAAGTCAGACTGACTACTTAGTAATTGTTCACACATATCCTGCAACGCTATAGTATTCAGATTAATAGAACCACTAACAGGTAGACCATTGATTCGCAGTCCAAGCAACATAACAACATCTTATAATGTTACTGTGCATTCTCCACAAGGAAGATGAAATGTATGTTTTTGGTCTCCAACGTTCAACAAGTGCATTTACAAGCCCATCATTTATATGCATTTGACATATTTGTGCAACACGATAAAGTCCAACATTTTGTAAAATGTCATATATCTCAGGTCTAGGCGGTGATATAGCTAAGTGACAAGGTCATAATAGTCTCATTACTTGACACAAAAAAATAATTAATCATTAAATACATTATTTAAATTATTATATTTTAAAATATTATTTAATCATATTAGATATTTGATCACTAAATACTAATATTTAATAACTAGCCATAATTAGGAAATTATATTTTTAATAACATAAATCATAAAAATTACTTACATTTTGACCTCGTACTAATTTTGAGATGTGCTTCTGCGAATCCATAATTGTATCACGAACCATATTAAAGAAATTTGTTAATCTACAATATTTTTGAAAAAATTTCAACAATGTATTTTTTTTATTCTTTTTTTCTTTTATTTTCACTCTTCTTCTTTTTCTTGGTCTTCCGTTTCCTCTTCTCTCTTCCATCTTAGCTCTCTCTTCTACGTTCTCTTTGCGTATGAGTTTATGACTGAAAGGGTCATTATATAGCTCTAGGGACTAGTTTCTCGCTTTGAAAAAATTCATTCACACTTTAGTACAGCTGACAGTGGAAGAAATTCCTTCAAAAATCGCCATTAGCAATTTTTTACTCTGCAAAATTTTTATTCAACATTCACGCTTTACTTTTCCTGACAAATGGCCAGACTGAACATGCAAATATATCAAAATTCGCCACTAGTGATTTTTCATTAAAACCACTTTCTTAATGCAAATTTGTCAAAACCACGCTCTCGTCAATATTTCAAGTCTATTATTCACGACATTTTAAAAATTTAAATATTGTTGATTCTCTAAAAATCGCCACCTGCGAGTTTTAAAAATTCATACTTCCGTAAAATTATCACAAATAACATATTAATGTAATTATCATTTTTATATCCCATATTTAAATTAATAAACCTCTTAGGAAATTAGCTAATCAATCAAAATATGATACTGTTTAAAGTCAATATCGTTAAATCAACCACGATTTTAATTCAAAAGAAACTCGTTATAAGTAATGGGACCATGGCATGTTGAAAAAGCTAGCGAGCAACAAGTTCTGCAGATTCTTATCTTATATTTATTAAAATAGGTTTCTTAGCTCTTTTTAGAGTGATATGCTGGTCTCGAGTCATAAATATTATATTTAATTCAAACATATAAATTAATGTTTAATTTTTATTTTTTTTTGTATCCATGTTTATATTTTAATTAAAAAAACATATATAATATAAATAAAATATTAATTTAATTAAGCTCACATCGAATTTATTTAATCAAGCTTAATTTACCTTTTTTTATTTTTATATCCCTGTTTATATTTTTTTAAATTTTTTTTTAACTATTTGAATAAAGCATAATAAATTCGATTTATTTTTATTACATTTTAAAGTATTATATTTTGTTATTTAAAAATTGTTACACCACTCACATATACAAGTGTTGTCTTGTGCATTTATAATATTAGACAGAGTAAATACTTAT